TGTATGTCCCTCCTCCACAGTATAACCCCTGCTTTCACTATATTTGATGTCAGTATAACTTGTGGAGGAGATGGGGAAAAACAAGTCGTTTAAGGATTCAGGTGGACCTGTTGCAACAATGAGAAGTACAAGTTGTCATGTCCAAAACTTTACAACGTCGATGCGGGGGGTGGGGGGAACGGGGAGGCTTGGAAGGGATGAGAAGGGTAAACAAAGGAGGAGGCTACAATGCTTGGTAAGAAATGTACGCATTATCCTGCCCATGTAATTGTAACCCCTCTGTACAGTGTGTTCACAAATAAAATAAAATTAAATTTAAAAAAAACATTATCAGTTATTATGTTCATTGCTGCATTGTTTACCATAGCCAAGATATGGCACCAACCCAGATGCCCCTCAGTGGACGAATGGATCAAGAGAATGTGGTATATATCCACAATGGAATTCTACTCACTAACAGAAAGATCAGAAAGAATAATATTGTACCATTTGTAAGGAAATAGAAAGATTTGGAAAAAAAATTAAACGAAATAAGCCAGACCCAAAAAAAAATAATAATTATGCTTAATATATTTTTAGCACACAAATAAAATAAAATAAATATATATATATATATATTTAGCAAATAATAGTTGCTTAATATATTTTAGGCATTAAAAAGATAAAAAATTAAAAATCATTGAATAAATGAATGAATGCACTTTCTTATTATATCCAACTCCAAGAAGCAGGAAGAAAGATTTTTTTTCTTTCTACCAGTTTGAAGTCATAAACTCTGCCTAGTACAGACATGGCAGGCTTTGAAAAAAAATCAGTCCTTAAAAACCTCATTCAAGCTGGCCATCAGTGGCTCATTCCTGTAATCCTAGCTACTCAGGAGACAGGCTGAGATCTGAGTATTACAATTTGAAGCCAGCCAGGGAAGGAAAATCCAGTAGACTCTTATATCCGTTTGGCCACAAAAAAAAAAAATAGCTAGAAACATAGCTGTGGCTGAAGTGGTAGAGCAATAGCTATGAGCATTAAAGCTCAGGGACAGTACCCAGGCCCTGAATTCAAGCCCCAGAACCACTACAAAAAGAAAAGAAGAGAAGAGAAAGAAAACAGAAAGAAGAAAAGAAAGAAAGAAAGAGAGAGAGAGA